ACTTTCGCCGCAATGCGTGGCTGACCAGTGTCACGTGAGAGTAGACTTTTTTGTTGTTCTCCATCTAATGGTGAAAGCATCGCGGTGAAGCTGCGGGTTGACTTTCGCATTGAATCCTGGTCAACTGAAGAAACCAGAGGAAGACAACGAGAATGCTACGCGTCAGATCGTGTTCGGAGTTGAGACGAGTCTAGGGCAGGCGGGATATCCAAAACTATGAGCCTATGGAGATGTTCAGCACTAACGCCATGTCACATCAGAAACGCTTCTACAAATAGCGGATAGTGTACCCATAGCCCTTTTCAATAGCGTCAGTGAAGCAACAAGACTGTTAATCACGATGTGTCCGCTTGTGGACCATTTGGAAGAAGCCAAATACCATAGAGAGAAACATGAGGGCACTGAATCGAGGGCGGGCCCTCAACTATCTTCTGTTCAATACTCTATGCAGCATGACGTTTGGAAGGTTCAAGTCAGTAGTCACGAAGAAGGAAGCTCAGAAAATGTTGACGGAGGTGATAGAATCTTATGGTTAGCTAAAGGAAGCAAATGAGGCCCATTTTTTGTAAAGATGAGCGCGCGTGCTACCGTCGCAAGGCATGTCGGAAAACTTCAAAACTTTTGTGTTAAATGTTAATTATGTCAGAAATTGTGGGCTGACCTAATAGTAGATACTGGTGGTGAGCGGCTTTGCCTCCAGCTGGTGGACTGGTGGTATACCCACTTTTCCCACTCATTCCACAGAGTAGGCGCGCGAATTCTCGGGATTGGACAAGAACTTCTAATCTGCCAATGCTCATGAGCTGAAGCCCATTCAAATCTACCTTCACTGGCACCGGTGCAGGGTTTTGAATCGTCCGTAAATGGAATCAACTCAGGAACGCATCCATCGTGAGGACGTGTTCTCAAAATGAGCTTGAATCCTTGCAAGGGATCCATGAGGATTTAGACTTCCTCTGAATCTTGTGCAGACTTTGGATCCTAGCACTTGATGCACACATTGGTCGGGGAGGGTCGGGGGAGGGGATTCCGGGTCACTGAAGCGAGTAAGGTACTCGTTGAAGTTGATGTTTAAAAGGAGGCGGTTAATATCATGTTGCCTCGTTTGTCACGCCAATGGATTTCCCAATTCTGTGAACCTTAATAAGGATAAAGGATAAAGCATTTGCCGTTGATCAATCCCTTTTTGGGATGCGGCACGCATTCTACTTCCATTTGTACATTCGTAGTGGCGTTTGAATGCGATGTGGCCTATACAATGACTTGCGGGGGCCAGCCGATGTACAAGTCAGTGTTTTTATCCTCCCAGACAAGTCTGGTACCAATTAACCGACCCCGGAGGGATGGAAGGCTTGGTTGGCCCGGGCGACTCACGACCCAGGATTTGATCCCCGGACCGCTCGCGTGGTAAGCGTGCCACTTGCCACTACAC